GCACACCCCACAACCCCCCCCCACAACACACAGACACAAACCCCACAACACACACCACAAACACCCACAACACACACACAGCACACACACACAGCACACACACACAGCACACACACAGCACAACTGGGGGCACGAGCGCGCGGGTGGGAGCAGGTCCCGCACGCTCCACTGGTGCCCAGCTCCCGTTACCAGCATCACAAGACCTGGCCATCAAGGCTTGTCTCCTTCAAAAGCACTTTACCAGCCGCTGTGTTTTGGCTTTTAAACTACAGCTCACAGAGGGGGCTTCACCCACCCCCTCCAGGACAGCCTGGGTGGGAAAGGAGGAAAGATCCCGCTCTGGGACAAATCCACTGTGTGCGAGCGGGGTGGGGGGCGGTGACAACTTCCACGTCCTTTTTTCTTGCATAAGGACATCTGTCCTCAGCTGCTCCTTTCTCTACTACCAGTGCACCAGCACAGCAGAGGTAAATAGTTCCTGTTCTGTTCTGCCACTAGAAATTAATTGAATTCTCTCTAGAACATGCCTGTACATTCAAAGAATACCTGCTGCACATCAGTGTCCTTCATACCTTCACTTTGCTGTAAGCTTTCTGCCTTCCTTAGCTAATGTTCTACCACCAAGTGTTGCACATATCCACACTGCCCAAAACAATTATGGGATGTACCTGTTCAGGCTTCAGAGCTTCTAGCAGCGTTAGGTGGAGGAGGAAAAAAAACAAAACACCAAGGGCTTGGGAGTAATGTATGGACAAGCCATGTGATCGGGACCAGGCATCCAGGGCTAACTTTTAATCTGCCTTGTTTCAAGTGGGAAATATGTGAAGATCAAATAAGTTCAAATCCAGGTCAAATATCCTTGAAAATCTTTGATTTATATAAGCAGGAAAATGAGGTTTAAAAGAAGTGATTATGAAAGGGTTACTAAAAACACAGCTGTACGCATACTCTTATATCTGAGGCTCTCCAAAGAAAAACTGTGTGACATCTATATTAACCTTTGGCTGTACACCAATGAAGGCCTGTAGTGAGCTGGAATGCAAGGCAGCCCCTTCCAAATTTTAACACAAGCCAGGTTACAGCTGCAAATGCCTGCAGCCCGTGCTCACTTTATAAAGTATTCCCCGAAGGAAATTTTTTAACTGTTATAGAATCTTTTTCTAATACCCTACAGTGTTAAAGCCTGTTATTAAAGGGCAAAGAGATGGTTCTCTATGCCAAACACTTGTCAACAAAAAGGATAGCCAGATGGTATGAAATAAAAGGAAACTTGGGGGCTCTTCAGCTTCTTGATTTATATTAACAAAAGCCACTTTCAAGTGCTCCTTCCAAGAATGACTAATTCCCCCCCCACTTCTTTTTTGCCAGGATTAAACAATGTTGTTCATTTTATAATCAACCACGAGACAAATTAACAAATTGCATATCACTTGTGCTGACTCTTTTAAAAATATTCTAAGCAACTCTGTTTACCAAGGCAAGATTACCGGCATAAGGACAACTCAATTATTTTTAGAAGAGAAGGTCTAAGTCATCTAGAGGATGTTTACTCCTTAGTTGCTGTTTATAAACTTGAAATTAAACTTGTGCAAAAAATGCTTTGCATTTTTTCAGTTCCTAAAATGGTTCAGTTTGTAAACTGTACTTGGACAGAAACGAAATTCTAAATACTGAAATTATAGTAATAAATTTTACAAAATTAGCCAGTAATTAACTAACTTAGTCAGACCACTGTGGCTAAATTCTCTTTTAATTTACATGTAACTTCATTCTTGACAAAAATCCATTCCCCATCCATCTTAGCACAGGTGTAAGCTAAGACAAAATGTAGCCTGTGAATTAACTGGTTATAAATCTAAATCTAATTAATTGTCAAGATTTTACAGTAACATTACATGCTTAGTAAAAAGCTCCCTGAAACGGAGCACCTGTATTTTGGTTCCTCCCTACCAATACCCAGTATAAATTCTCTAGAATAAACATACACAGTATCTCCATAGAAATCAATGTGTGGGGGGGTTGTCGTTGGCTTTTTTACTATATATCCCAGTAAATCTTGCAATGTAATTTTTTTTTAATATTTTTCCTTCTGAAATTGTAAAACTGGATAAATGAAGAATATGAATAAGGCAAAAAAGTGCTTTTATAAATTGGCATTTGGAAGCCTGGAATTAACATGTTTTACTGAATGAAATTTAAAAGTATTATTTCTTTACTCACTTTTACTTCCTCCATTCTGAAATGAAACTTTATTATACTGTGACACTTCCTCATTGTGATGGCTCTAGTATAGTAATAAAAGCCTACCTGTGAAATGCAATGCTCACAGAGTCTCTCTTACAAAAGTAGGACACAGTTTACTACAGTCTGCATTTAGGAATTCAGCTCTGCTTTAAAAGGGATCATTGTAGAAAGTCTCCAAAAAAATTCAGTCCTACAATAGATGTTCTAATTTTCCCTGAAAGTCATAGAAAACTGTATGTCTCAAAGCAGGTGTTGTGTTTGACTACATACGGGAGCGAGTGGCTGGTCTAATTCATTAAAACGTCCATAAACAGGCCTGTCTTTGTCCTATAAAGATGAAAGAGCGATGACTATAATGGGATGAAAGGTGTGCACAGGGATGAAGAAAGCTATTATAGATCTATGTCCTTTTTAAACTCGTCCTGGCATGCACTGTTGACAAGGGAACAAAACAGCACAGATAAACCTCCGAAATGTGCCTTGCTGGTAGTAATTCCACCTGTCCTTAAAACTATTGGATTTTGCCAGCGCTCTTACTACTCACTGACCACGCTGACAGCATCTAAATAAAATGATCGTTTAGTATTTTGCATCAAGAACACCCTTGGGTTTCTAAGCTGACCATAAAACCTGGCAGGTAGAAACCAATTAAATATCTTCTGTAGCCATCCCATCACATCGCGATGTTGACTATTGGTTTCTTACGGCTTATACAGGTGAAACCTGCTCTGTAAAGAGTTCTCACGTAGACACAGACATATTCAAAATGTAAGTTTTATTTCACAGTTTATGGATCGATTCCACTCCTTTGAACTCAAAATAATTAGTGACCTGAACACTAAGAGTGCACCTCTTCCATGGGCTGACAGGGAGACTTTTCCTTACATTGGAAGCATGGGACGGGAGCGCTGCAGTTTCACTGATGAAAGTTATGCAGCAGATAACTACACCTGAGGAGCAGAGCTGCTTCCCCAGGGCTAAACTCCCTCCCATTAGGTACTTACATGTTTCATAAATGTTCTCTCCTCTCTACCAAAATGGAAAGAGAAGCGTGAATTTTGCTATTGTTATTTCAACATCCTTTGTCTTCTGTTTGAGACTCTCCTTGCACTCGGCCGTACATGGTGTAGGACCCAAGAATCACAGAGAATAGTGTTAGCAAGATCTCTCTTATCTCTAAAGTCAAATATTTGACTGTCATTGGTACTTTTGACTGCTCAAATATTTGATTTTAAATGTATCATTGCTCATCGGCTTAAGGATCCAGCACTGATTAGACAAACATTGTAATTCCAAATGGAAAGCACCAGCTCTCATAGAGCACAGCCCCCGGGCCAGATGTAATTCCAAGCTTCCCACTGTGAAGCTTATGGCAGTTAATAAGGAGGTGCAGCTCATGCAAACTAGAGATCTCCCACAGCGTCCTGTGTCTCCTTATCATGCACGAATTGTGCCGGGATGGCTACCGTGTCTAATAATTATTAACGTGTGTCACAGAGCCTTTACAGCTGCTGATCTTTTCAAGTTGGTTAAAGTGCTGGGATTAGGGAGGTGGTGATTTAGGTGGTGATTTAATCTTTGTTACCTCTGAAGTTCCAGACAGTGGAAGTGTCCAGAACAGTGACATCCATAAAGGTGTTAATGGATTTATGGGAGATGGGGGTCTGTAATCCCTAGCAGGTTACATGCCAGAGGTGGTCTCCTTTTGTGTTTTGTGTCTCCCTTTGTTTGGGACAAAGTTTGAGTGGATCTTGTTTTGGAAATACAATTCAGGTTCTGCCTTGAACTTGCAGGCACCCAGTCTGTACATGTGTGGTTTAAGAGCCGCACATGATGAGGTCTAAAAATGGATAGAGCGAACCAGGTCTATAATTACATATTTAAAATAGAACGCGCACTCTGACAATGTTTTACTCAAATCCGGCCAAGTCAGTCCACACGGGTGTGCAATCTGCAGCGAGCAAATGGAAATCAGATTGGGCCGTGGCATCCAATTAGAGAGGCCTAGCGAGGCGCATACAAAGCGTGCCAACTCTCTATCGTTTGCATAAACCCATCCACATGTGCTTGTGAAAAGAGGCGAGTTAGCGGCATAAACTGGGGTCAACAGGAAAAGCTGCAGGAGTAAATAAGGATTTACTGTGGAATCCCTCCCAAGCCATTAGGAAAACATGTGCGAGCGGCTCAGCCCCTCCGGCCGCGGGAGCGCGGCGCTGGGATGCCGCAGGGAACTATCCGCCCAGGCAGCCCTGGTGGCTCTGCATCCAGCTCGAGAGCCAGCCCGGCACCGGGAGCTGTGCCGGGACCCGTGGTCCTGTCTGGGTTTCGTGTATTCCTTGGCAGTGTGGGGTGTGGAACAGACCTGCTAATCGTCCTGTGTAACTCCTACCTGTAAATCCAATTTCTGAAGTGCAGCAACTATCAAAGGGACACCTTAGTGTGTCGGCGCGCAGGGTGGAGCGTGGAGAAAGCTTGTGGCTGTCCAAATGCTGTGATGGGGAGTCAGTGCCCTCTCCACGCTGGTGCCATTTAACCACTATCTGGCAAAGGAGGCGCTTTTCCGAGGGCCGCTACCTGTCCTTTGCCCAGGTGGGCTGCCACCCACCTGACCCGCTGGGAAACAGCTCCCAAGCGCGGCCACCTGCACCACCAGCCCTGGTCCTCCCGCTGGTGGCCAGGGCGCCGCTCCAGCCTCCCCCCGGCGCGGTTCCCTGCCCGGTTGCCCCGGACCCAGCTCCGCCGAGCCCGGCACTCACCCAAGTTGACGAAGCTCATGACCATGTCAGCCTCGGTGAGGAAGTTGCTGTCCTGCAGGCTGGCCAGGGGCGGCCCCTGGGTGCTGAAGATGGGCTTGTAGGGGTAGGAGAAGCCCTCGCCGTCCTCGGCGGCGGCCCCCGCCGCCCCCTCCTCCACGGACATGGCATTGTAGAGGTCCAGCATGAACATGGGGGCCGAGTTGTGCTTGCCGTGGAGGTGGGGCCGCGGGCGGTGCGGCAGGCCGAGGATGGAGAGGATCTCCCGCTGCATCTCGCGGCGCTCGGGGCCGCGCAGCCGCCGGTGGATGAAGCTGGAGTGCACCTCGTTGTCCACCGTGAAGTCGGCGAGGACGCAGCGCAGCCAGAGCGCGGGGGCGGCGGCGCCCAGCACCAGCAGCCAGGGGCTGGGCTGCCCGCGCCCCGCCGCCGGCATCGCGGCTCGGCGGGGGCTGCGGGGCGGCGCGGGGGGCGCGGGGCTGCCCCGCCGCGGGACGCGCCCCGCCGGCATGCACGGCACGGCCCGGCACGGCACGGCCCCCGCTCAGCCCCCGCGGAGGCGCCGCTGCCCGCTCATGGCCCGAGGCGGCGGCGGGGGGCTCCTATCGGCCCCGGCCCATGGACCCTTCCCCGGGAGCTCTTCTCTGGCGGCGGGAGCGGCCGCGCTGTGCCCGCGTCCCGCACGGCGCGGCGGAGCCGTGTGAGCGGCGCGGCCCGGCGGGGAGCGGCGGGAGGGTGTCTCTGGTGGGAGGAGCAGGCGCTGGAAAACCCGAGCGCTCGCGCTCGCTCGCTCGCCAGCTCCTAAACCGCCCGGGAGAGAAAAATCCCTGGATCTGCCTCGAGGAGGGACGTCTGCTCAGGTTGCTTTTCAGGATGTTTGTGGAGGCTGCGGGCTCCGGGAGAGGCTGAGCCGGTCCCGAGCGTCTAAATTAGCGTGAACGTCATTAAGGAGAAGACTCCCCAGGAGGGAGGGCGGTTTATGCATAAGGAAGGGGCCCAAACTCCCACAGAGTTTATAGATGCAAGTACATCGTCTGTCTGCACAAACACGCATACACACTCTTTTTCCTCTTCTACTCTTTTTTTTTTTTTTTTAAGAAGTACAGATGAGGAGAGACTGTCCCGGACAAAACCAAGAGCACTAAATTATTTAAAACGTGGTGATTATACATTCACGCACGTAGACACGTATGTATGTCTGTGTGCACAGAGCCCCGGGTCACTTTTTCCAGCTGGCAGCGGGGAGAGTTAATGGAGAAGCGTTAGAAATCCGAGGGGTGAGATGAATTGGAACCATCAACCTGTGCGTGTGGGTAGTTTATGACACTAGAGTACCCTCCACTCTTGCCTTCCTTTTTAACTCCTGCTCCCTGGTACACACCTTTGTGGGATACCGTCCTGAGGTGAATTGTCACCTTCTTAAAGCAGTGGCTTTTTTAACTCAGTGGGTGCCACATCTACATTAATGCAGCCCTAGTCCTTATTAGTCCAGTCTGCTACAACAGTAAATAATAATAATAATAACAACAACAACAATATCAGATAACAAATGTAGACTATTGCTTCCCAAATCTTACTTGGAAAACAAGGGGAAGGCAGGAGAGTTTATTTGGGTCACTGAATCCCCCCCGAGGTAATTTCAGAAACCATATATATATATATATATGTATATGTATATATACATACACACTAAGTTTATGCTGACATTAAGATTCATTCCTAAGACAAAGAAGAGGGGCAAGGAATAAAAGAGTTCAGCAGTTTTTTGGCTTTCTTTTTATAGATTATTTGTCGGATATTTTCAGAAGAGCAATATTCAGTAGTATCCAGCACCAGATCCTGCAACTGTTCTGGAGACTAGTGTTCAGCACTTCTTTTAGCTCTTTATGTTTAAAATCCTTGCGTGAACAGCAGATAACTAGTCAAAAAGATGCATGGGAAACATGATGAATGATTTAATGTGTTTGTATACATGCATGTGCACCTCATAATAACAGGGAAACTGAGACATCACATCAAAATGACTCATGGCACTATTGAAATAGTGGTGGAACCGGCATTGAAGTCCTGGCTCAATCCTAACACATGTTTAGGAATGGCTTAAGCTCTGGGAGAATGGTGGGGGGAGAGAGGTTGTGAAGCCATATCCACCTTAGGTAACATGGGAGCACTTGCTCAACTTACTGGTGCCAGTGGGGCTGCTCAAAATATCACCCCTATAGCTGCTGTCCCAGTGCTCCCCACTGATGAAAACACCAGTACCTGAGCAGCTGCATCTTGGCTGCCCAGTTAAGATCAAACTCTCCAGCATCTTTTGTACTTCCTGAGGAGCAGCACTAACCTGCTCTTAACCAGGCAAATATTTGCCTAAATTTCTTTCTTGCCGAGGGTGTGGTTTCTAGATCAATTTAAGCTGATTTAAAGCCAGGCTCCCCCTGAGAAAAACTTATTTTTCTCATCCCACCCTAGCCTGGACCTTCAGCTGTGCAACCCCACCTCTCTCCAATGCTGGTACCAATACTTACACACAAGTCAGGAAACTTATTTTGTTTTTAAAGTATTTTTTTAACCATTTATGTATTTGTTTTTGCTGAATTAATTTTCTGCTGGATCAGCTCCTTATTCTGACTGACTACATATTTTGTTGGAACTAAGGAGGCCACAGGAATGCACAGCTGGGGGCAAGGAGAGGGTGTGTGGGTCAGGCTGCAGTAGGATGGGCTGACAGATGATTTGGTGTCACTCTGCTCTCCCTTTCAGCTGCAGACAACTTGATTTCTCTTCCTTTTTTGTTCCTTGTAGACTGTTTTTCCAGAACTGTGAGTGTTGGCCTTTCATCAAGCAGCAGTAGGACAAGGAGCCTTGCCTTTGGCATGGACCTTGAGATGAAAAGATCTGTGAGGCTGGAACAGTGGAGTGGAGAGCAGGTGTCTCTGCTGCCTAAATTACTTGCACCTGAATTACTTGTAGCTCCCTTTCAAAAACTGGCTAAACTTCAGGTCAGTGTTATGCTTTGGAATGGCAACATGCTTGGAGAGAAAGAAAAGAAAAAGACAGTATGGGAGTTTTGGCTCCTGACTTGCTAACACTTTAGGTAGCTGCTGTTGGAGCTGTAGGTGTCATTAAAGAAACAGCAGAGGATAAAAAGTAAACCTTGAAACCTCTTGATTTGACAAATTTCTTGAAAAAGTGATGTTTGAATCTGTTTCTTTCTTGTTCCGTCTGTTTAAGTGGTCTGGGTTTGGCCACATTTAGCTATATCCTGATTTAATGCAGGATGTGCTCTTTAAAGAGGGGCAGTGCTGCAACTGTATCCTGTGCTTTCATAGGAATAACTGGGAAAGTTTTCTCTTTTATACAGTATTTTTGCTGATTGTATTGCACTGGTATTGCAATAAATAAATCCTTGAAAGTTTGATAGTTTGAAATGGGGTTACTGCTTGCATGTATTCTTAAAACAGCAGAACAAAATCACTCTAGCAGTGTGTGATGAGAAACTGAATTTGTTAAAGAATAAGTTTTTGATGTGAAGTCCTCAGCTCTTGGCTTCAGCTTGATTTGGGATACAACAAAGGGCAGCATTTATTCTGCTGCATACAACAAAGGATGATGCAGCTCAAACTGCAGAGGTTCAGCCCTCAGATCTGAGCTTGAATTTCAAATACCTTTCAAACAGAAAGGCAATCCAGTTTGTACCTTTTCTCATGGACAACGTCTCTCTCTTCCCTCCTTTCTTGCCTGCTGTGTAAACCCCATCCTGCTTCCTGTAGGATCAGTTCCACACAGGGTGCTGAAATATTGGCACCTTCATGTCACTGTCTTTTTCCTCCTCCTTCCTGGATCAATTAAGAAACCAGTTTTTCCTCTTACTCTTCTCTGTTTCTTTTGTCTATCCTCCTCTTCTCAAGAAGGAAAACGAAATGGTGGTGATGAAGTAATCCCTGTTTGTTGGCACTTGCTGCTCCAGATAATTTCTATAAAAACAAACTCCCAATGTTTCTGAGGTTCTGCACAAGCCACATTACCAATTGAGTAGCTTTTTGATCTCTTTGAGCTTTGTGTGTACGGTCTTATCTGATTTTTGTACCAACTACTGCCATTTGTGTGGAAGTCGGTGTATTTGCGGGCACGTATTTAGGAGATAAATAAAGGGTCTGATTTAAAACCATGAAATGGACAAAACTGTGCAGGTCTGTGTCAGGTGAATTTGTATATGCTGCTGTCATCATCCTGTGCCCATACAAGGCGTGTGCCAGTGGCAGAATTTGGCCATTTGCATTCAGTTTTACCAAATGGGTGGTAAAAAGTGTGGGTTCTGCTCACAGACTCATTTAATGACTTTTCAAAAATCAGACACAAAGCATTTTTTCCTCTTTTCTGCGGAATCAGTGTCGGGTTCCTTGTCTTCCTACTTTGATGTCCTCTTTTTAACTTTAACCATGTTTCTTTTCCATTCTGTTTTGCATCTTCTCTCATTTGTCTTGAACAAAGTGCAAGTCCTAAATTATAGCAAACTTTTTTTCTCCTTCCAAATAGTCCCACTAAAATAGCATGTGTTTGGGAAATTTTGAACTGTTTCACTGTGCCCTGAGCATGAAAAACACTTACATAGCAAAAATAATACCATTATTATTTGTATAAGAATGGATAATTAGCTTGTATGTTTAATTATGCTATATTGGATCCTTCTTATCAAAAGTTTCTATTCATCCCTTCAGCATTATTACTGAGAACGTATTCACCAACAAGAAATTAATCTCATTATGGGTAAGCCATTGTATTAGCTCTAATCCAGGAATCTGAACAGATCTGGGTTGAACAGTGCCGGGTTGGACAATACTGACTATGTTATAAAAATTAAGTATTGATTCTCATTGCTGTTGATCAGAGGAGAGTCAGAAATTAAATCTGTGGTTTAGGGTTTGAAAAAGGCATTATTTCTTCTGGAGATGCTAGCAATAGCTAAAATAGAAAATGATCTTTGGATTTATGAAATGGGACTGTAGCACTGAATTTAATGGTTGTCAACTGAGTAAGGTGGACAAAGTTCAGTCCTTCACAGTTCAGCATTTCAAAGGACTTCATAAAACTGGATCTCCACAAAACTGGATCTCCACAGGGATTCTTTTATTACTGTTTACTCCAGAGAACATTAGAAATGAGTTTGTGTCATTGAAACATTTGTAGTATTACATTTATCGTACATCTGTTTACAACTTGAATATAGGCCTATGCTGTATTTTGTATTTTTATTTTTATGTTGGTATGAGCATTTGTAAATGTGCATACACCAGCATACTTCAGTAATGTCTTCAAACTTTATGTAAGCAATATATTCCTACAGCACAGATACAGCCATATGAGTACTGTTTAACGTGGAATCGAATATTGCCAAAGCAGCCCAAACAAAACTGAATTTAATTTTGTACTATTAAATTATTGCGTGCACACTCGATTTGGTTGACGTTTTTTGGCACAAACCCAAGCATTTCCTTCACTGGTAACACTGTA